CAGATTTTTCACTTTCCCAATTTTTCGGTATTTCAGTTTTGGGATTTTTCAATTTTTCGATTTTTATTTTAATTTTTCGATTTTGAATTTTCCAATTTTTTCAGTTCTTCGATTTTCTATTTTTCGAATTTCTAAACTCTAGATTTTTCATTTTTTGGATTTTTCGATTTGTCGACTTCTCTATTTTTAAATCTTTCGAATTTTTTTAATGTCAGATTTATCGATTTGAAATTTTCCAATTTTGCGACTGTTGAATGTTTCAATTTTTCGAATTTTAAATTCAATATTTAGACATGTGTATTAATTTTTGGATTTTTCTATTTTACAAATTTTCAAATTTTTTAATTTTAGATTTTTCAATTATTTAATGTTTCGATTTTTCGACTTTCTTAAATTTTCTGGACTTTTCGATTTTTAAATCTGTCGACTTTTCAATTTTCGAATTTTTTAATATCAGATTTTTCGATTTGAAATTTTCCAATTTTGCAATTGTTCGATTTTTCAATTTTTCGAATTTTAAATTCTAGATTTTTCAATTTTTTGATTTTTTTCATTTGTCGACTTCTCGATTTTAGTCTTTTTGATTTTTAAAATTTTCGATTTGAAATTTTCCAATTTTGCAACTGTTCAATTTTTCAATTTTTCCAATTTTAAATTCTAGATTTTTCCATTTGTCGACTTCTCGATTTTAGTCTTTTTGGTTTTTAAAATTTTCGACATTTCAGCGTTGGAATTTTTCAATTTCTCAATTTTTCAAAATTTTGATGCTTCAATATTTCTTCGATTGTTCAATTTTTCGATTTATCAATGTTTCGATATTTCAGTTTTGAGATTTTTCAATTTTTTGATGTTTGGACTGCTGGTATTTCGATGTTTTTACTTTTCGTATTTTCCGATTTTAAAAATCTTTTGTTTGTCTTTTTTTTAATTTTTCAACATTTCAGCTCTGGAAATTTTCATATCTCGATTTTTCAATTTTTGGATGCTTTGATTTTCCAATTTTTCGATATTTCAGATTTGAGATTTTTTCTTCAATTTCAGTTTTTTTTTCAATTTTTTGATGTTTCGACTGCTCGAATTTTCGATTTTTTGATTTTTTAACATTTCGCATTTTTTAAATTTCAAATTAATCTTTTTTGCAATTTTTAATTTTTCTGTGTTTCGGGTTTTCAATTTTTCAACATTTCAGATTTGGGATTTTTTAATTTCTGAATTATTTTTTTTATTTTTTTTTTTTAATAATAATGAAAAAACTTTCAGAGTTTAAAAAATATATTTGTAGTCACTGCTACACGTGTTTCGGTACACAGTACCGTCTTCAGGCATAAATCAGTTTCTCTTCTGCCTGAAGACGGTACTGTGTACCGAAACACGTGTAGCAGTGACTACAAATATATTTTTTAAACTCTGAAAGTTTTTTCATTATTATTAAAATTAATATGGAGTTTAAACACGTATCAGCCTCATCAATACAAATATTTTTTTTATTCTTCAATTTTCAAAAGTCTCTTTATTATTATTTTTCGATTTTGTTGTTTGTAATGTTTCAACTGCTCGATTTTTCGGATTTAGATTCTTCGATTTTATAATTTTTGGATTTTTAAAATCTTTGATTTTAACATTATTCAATTCTTCGATTTCGTCGTAAATTACGTTATTTTTTAAATATTTATATTTTTTGAAATTAGGTTTTTTTTTTGTTCATAAAATATTTTCAAAATTTTGTCTTAATCTTTTAACAAAATTTAGATATTTAGATTTTTCACATTCCTTAGGTTTTTCAGCTTCCTTCAACCACTGATCATGGCCTACTAGACGACTTTTTTTCCATCATATGATACACGGAATTCAAGGAAACTAAAAAACCTAAGGATTGTGAAAAATTTCAAAAACTAAAATATCCAAAGAAATCAAGAGATCCAAGAAGAAATCTATAGAATTAAAAAAATAATAAAAAAGGAATCCACGGAAAAATACCGATCGAATAAAAGAGTCGTCTAGTAACCTATGAAATTTAATATTAAAAAATGTACATATTGTAACAACAACGTGTTCATGGGCTACTGGACGGAATTCAAGAAATCCAAAGAATTCAAGGAATCCAAGAAAAAATCCAAATAATAAAAAAAGTCGTCTAGTAACCTATGAAATTTAATGTTTCTAGACGACTTTTTTGCATCATATGGTACACGGAATGCAAGGAATCCAAAAAATTCAAGGAAACTAAAAAACCAAAGGAATATGATGAATTCAAAAATCCAAAAAACATTTAAAGAAATCAAGGAATCTAAGAAGAAATCCAAAAAATTAAAAAAAAAAAAATAAAAAATCCAAGGAATCCAAGGAGAAATACCGATCGAATAAAAAAATCGTCTAGTAATCTATGAAATTTAATATTTAAAATGCATGCGTTCGTGGCCTACTAGACGGAATTCAAGGATTCCATAGAATTCAAGGAAATTAAAAAATTTGAGGAATGTGAAGAATCTAAAAATGTAAAACATCTAAAGAAATCAAGGAATCCAAGAAGAAATCAAAAGAATTAAAAAAATCCAAGGAGAAATACCAATCGATTAAAAAAGTCGTCTAGTAACCCATGAAATCTAATGTTACTGGACGATTTTTTTCCACCATATTGTACACGAAATTCAAGGAATTCAAAGAATTCAGGGAAACTAAAAAACCTAAGGAATGTGAAAAATTTATAAATCTAAAACATCCAAAGAAATCAAAGAATCCAAGAAGAAAACCATAGAGTTAAAAAAATAACAATAAGAAAAAATCCAAGGAATCAAATAAAAAATCTTAGTTAAAGGGAATCTAAAAAAAATAAAAAATCCAAGGAGAAATGCCAATCGAATAAAAAAGTCGTCTGGAAATCTATGAAATTTAAAATTAAAAAAAATTATTGGTAACACCAACCCGTTCATCGCCTACTAGACGACCTTTTTCCATCATATTGTATACGGAATTCAAGGGAAAAAAAACAAAGGAAGGTATTTTTTTTTTTAATCTAAAATATCCAGAAAAATCAAGGGCTCCAAGAAAAAATCCACAGAGTTAAAAAAATAATTAAAAAAGCCAAGGAATCAAATTAGAATTTCAAAGAATCTAAGGAATCCACGGGAAAATACCGATCGAATGAAAAAGTAGTCTAGTAACCTATGAAATTTAATATTTAAAAATGTATCTGTAACACCAACGTGTCCACGACCTACTTTACAAAATTCACGGAATCCAAAGAATTCAAGGAAACTAAAAAATCTAAGGAAATGTGAATAAAAAAGTGGTTAGTGACGTATGAAATTTACGGTTACTGGACAACTTCTTTCTATCATATGGTACACGGAATTCAAGGAATCCAAAAAATTCTAGCAAACTAAAAACCCTAACGATGTGATGAATTTAAAAATCCAAAGAAATCAAGGAATCCAAGAAGAAATCAAAAGAATAATTTGTTTTTTTAATCCAAGGAAGCAAGAAAAAAAAAATAAAAAAACCCCAAGGAATTCAAGGAGAAACACCGGTCGAATGAAAAAGTTGTTTAGAAACCTATGAAATTTAATGTGAAAAAAATGTAATGATAAACGCGTTCATGGTCTACTAGACGACTTTTTTTTGTTAATCATAAGATACACGGAATTCAAGGAAACCAAAAAGAATTAAAAAAAATAAATAAGGAACCAAAATAGCTGCAATGCCAACATCGTTATTTTTCGAATTTAAGAAAACCAAAAAACATAAGGAATATGAAGAAGCTAAAAATCTAAAGCATCAAGTAAACTAAGGAATCCAAAGAATCTAAAAAATTCAAGGAATTCAGGTTGGTTAAAAAATCCAAGGAATGTGAAAAACACGAAAAATATAAAAAAATCCCAGAAACCAAGGAAAATCCGAGGGATTTAAAGAGAAATCCGAACAATTCTCCAAGGAATCAAAGGAATTCAAGGATCCCAAGATTTTCACGGCATTTAAAGATCTCACACCAAAAATCCCAAATTTTTATCAATATAAATAAATCTTATTATCAGATTTTATTAATCATAAACCAAAACAATACAATAATTAATTATTGTCCTTACTAAAAAAATAATTACTCCATACACTCAATAACACTCGAAAATTGATAAAATTTCACTACTGGCGAACTTTATCGCTTCAGTTGTTGAAATATTTTCATGGTTATCTCTGTGTTTCCTCGCTATAATTTACCAAAGAATCTCAAGGGAGATTTAGATTATATTTTTATTTCCAAAGAGCTGATAAAATAATCTCAAATAAAATATTCCACAACGTAAGTACACAAACTGTTGATAATCGATTTCAAATCAGTTTTGGAAATTTACTTAACGGCACTTAAATTAATGAAAGTGTTAATTCAAACATAATAACCAGTAATTGTTATTCAAAACTTAATTAAAGCAATTTGCTTGGTACTTTATCACTGTCATAAAGTCTCGAAATTTATGTAATTTATGCAACGCTGTGTTAAGTTAATTCACTTGCAATGACAATTACGTGTCAACGCATATTTTTAACAAAATACTTAAGTATATTTGACAATATTTGACATGACATCATCATTTTTTTTTTACAGGGAATGAGCCGACAAATTTTGATTAGTATTTTACAGACTCTTTTCTAACTTTATTTTAGACACTTGAGTAAGTTTGTTGAGTAAATAAATAACTTAAAGTTATGTGTATCTTATCTACAAAGTGCGTCTGGTTGATATAAAATTGGACAAAACATTTTTTATCAATTAAAAATGAATAATAATTGCGTTATGCAATTTTCCAGTATTAAAACAGCCCTCACACTTGACCTAGCCCACGCAACGCAGGCTTGTGGCCTTCCATATCACACATATGATTTATTTCAACCCAGTTCCAGATGTAACAGTTTTAGCCCCGACAAACCCAACCCCGGCCTTTCTGGGTGGATTCCGAGCCTCAAATCCCGACTGCCCCCCACACAAAGCCTTTACTGCCCATCCATACCTGTCGGTGGCATGGTAGACCTCGAATCCCGGATCCTCCCATGGGTCGATCTCGGCACCTTCCTCGCGGCCTCGTTCATATCGTTTGAATATTCTTTCACGCTCTTCGGCTGACCTTTTCAACAGATCTCCTTCATTCATCCCATTTACAGTATTTTAAACGGTCGATGGAACTATTGGACAGCATTCCGTTATTTGGGGCGGCTATTCACTGGGCTCATTCGTGCAGCTGAAAAGCAAAAACCAGACTCAAACCACCCGCACACGTTTCCATAACAAACATTTCGCGGCGCGAGGGCTATTTTTGGCCGCTATTTACCAATTTTTAATAATTTTCGACGAGTTTGACAACTGCTGTCAAATGTCACAGGTCTCCTAACCATAGCACGGAGAGATAGGCGAAGACGCGAAACGGCGGCACGGGGGCGAAACGAGACAGGTTTAATTAACGTATGCGAACATTTACCTTTTTATTTGCTGGTGGCGAGGAAATGACACCGAACCATGCACCTCAACACGAACCATCAAGCACACAGGCCACCATACCGACAGAGACGGAAAATCGAACGAGACACACTTTTTTCACGCAGGATTAGAAAACAAAAGGAGGAGGAGGAAAGTTCACAGACACGGTAATTACGCGATTCGGAAATCCCACGCACAATACGCGCTTTTATTATATTTTTAAAAAATAATTTAATATTTGAAGAGCGGCAGCGCCCTCTGGCTTGAAAACTTCGACTTAGTTGACAGACACCCATTAATCAATCCGATTTAAAGCAATTCAAATCAATCAATTGCACGACGATTCAACAATTCACGTGCATTGCTAATCGAGACTGACGACTTCACCAACTGCAACCCACGAAAAGTCGTGAAATTCAATTTAAATTTGAATTTCGCGCCACAACGCCGCCATTTTCTTAACCACTTTGGTTGTTTTGACAGACCAGAAGTGACGTTTCGCCGGTTCTATTTTGCCACGTTCTTTACCGAATTTCGGGCACACTTTCCCACTAACACCAATAATGGTACGTAATGTGCACCCAAAACGGTGTCGCGACACGTTTGACCCATAATTACCAGTTTTCATTTTGTAGGCCGACATTGAACCCATGATGAGGTACGTCTCACCGGTGAACCCAGCGGTGTTCCCACACCTAACCCTCGTCCTGCTAGGAATCGGGATTTTCTTCACGGCGTGGTTTTTCGTCTACGAAGTTACTAGCACAAAGCACACCAGAGACCTCAAAAAAGAGCTGCTCGTGTCACTTGTTGCTTCCATATTCTCCGGGTTTGGCATACTATTTCTTTTGCTTTCAGTGGGTATATACGTCTGATGCGTAAGCCACGTTAAAGTACTGATTTTTAATTATAAGGTAATTATAAATTTGTTACATTTTAATTTAATTGAAATGTTTTGTACTGTCGTGCAATTTAAAAATAAAATTACGTAAGAGCTGCTGTTTCAATTTCGTGTTTATTATTATTATTATTAATTTTGACCAGTTTCGTAACGTTTGCGAATTATCAAGTTAGCGCTGCTGTCATTTTTTGCGGTTGCCATGGTTACGCACACTGTTAACAAGACACCATGGTTTGACAGCAACAATGCAATAAGTAGCAATAATTTAAAATGCAGTTGAAATATCTGCAAACAATACTCGAAGCCCAGGTAAATACATCTTTTTCAAGTTTTATTTGTAGTTGGAAGTTAATTTTTGTAAGGATGGGGAAGCCAGAATTGTGGCTCTGTCGTGGTCACCGAATAACCAAAAACTGGCCGTGGCCACTTCAGACAGGCAAATTTTGCTCTTTGACGAGAAAGGCGAAAAAAGGGACCGTTTTTCCACGAAACCGGCGGATCCTGAAGCTGGGAAGAAGTCGTACGTGATTAAGGGGATTGCGTTTAGTCCAGATTCGACTAAGCTGGCTGTGGGGCAGAGTGACTGTATTGTGTATGTGTACAAACTTGGAGAAAAATGGGGTGAAAAGAAGGTATGCGTAGGTGACTTTTAATAGTTGAAGTAAATTTTTGGGTTGGTAGTTCACAGACATTTGACATCTTAAAATTAAATATGTTGCCAACCTGACCAAAAAATTCTAAACATTAATAGTCATTTCGTTTATAATATTTTTAAAATAAGTTTTAAATAAAAAAAATAGTCTAAGAGTAACCAAACTTCGTACCTTACATGTTTGCAAGCCTCAAAAGTTTGACCACAGTAAAGCTTGTTGACAATAAGGGTCAGTTACTCCGAATTTTCAAAGCAATTTTCGTACTCCCATTCTGCCTTATGGTCGTTTTTTTTTTTTTCAAATTACAGAGAAAAATTCGAATTTATCTAGGCGCCTCCACCATTTTTTTTACGAAAAATTTAAATTGCTCAAAACGATCGGAAAAACTGTTTATCTTATCGAAATTTATCTCCGGATCACGAATCTGTGGTTATTTAAAAATTAATATTTCTCAAATCGATTTTTTTTACGAAAAATTAATGTTTCTCATATCGATCGGAAAAGAAGTTTAAATGTGCGGAAAAGAAAAACTCTAATTTATCTAGGCGTCTTTATCATTTTTTTACGAAAAATACCAAAATCAATCATTTCTTAGCAAGTATTAGCCCCGCCCACCCGCCCTCTATTTTCTTGGAAAGTATATCATTTGCCAAAATTATTCGTATGGTAGCAAGTACTAGCCCCGCCCACCCTCCCTCTTCTCATTTTATTTCTGTTCAGTATAAGATCACACTCATTTCATTCAGATCGGGTAAAAGCAATCACTCAAAAGAGACAGGGTGGGTGGGCGGGGCTAATTATTTTCTTCTGTCGAGTGAAAATAGAAACTTAAGTAGATGTGAAAAAAGTAAAAAAAAGCACTATGTCATGCACCTGACCTGACTTGACCCAACGTGACCTGAGCTGTCCAGACTCCTTTATTGTCCCAAATAAACAAATTTTAAACATTTCTGTAAATATACAAAAGCTACAAAGTACATTATTGAAACATTTGTGTTTTGTGAAACAAAAATTAATAATAATTTACTTTTTCATCTACAAAATTTTAATAGAAAGCCATTTTAATTAGCGATTTTTGGAAAAACAGTAGGAATTTCCGAAGAAACGAGGCCGAAAATGACTTCTGGATATCGAAATCTACAAGAAAATGTCTTCAACTAATTTTCGGACATGGTTGAAAAATAGTCGAAAATGTCAAAAATGCCAAAATCAATCTTGCCTTATCAAATACTAGCTACACCCACCCACCCTCTAATTTCTTAGAGGATGTGTCATCTGCGAAAATCAGTCTTATCTTAGCAAATACTAGCCCCGCCCACCCGCTCCTTATTTTCTTGGAAAGAATGTCATTTGCCAAATTCATCCGTATCTTAGAAAGTACTAGCCCCGCCCACCCCCCTCTTTTCATTCTAACGACTAATTTTATTTATTCAATATAAAATCATTCATTTCATTCAGATCAATCACTGAAAAAGAGACAGGGTGGGTGGGCGGGGCTAATTATGTTCTTTTGTCGAGTGAGAATCGTAGCTTTTTTGTTATACTGTTTGCTATAAAATTTATTCCTTATTTGACCTAACGTGACCTGACCTGTCCTAACTTTTCTATTCTCCCAAATAAACAAATCTTAAACATTTCTGTAAATATGTAAAAACTACACAGTACATTCTTGAAACACTTGTATTTTGTGAAATTTAATAATAATTTTCCTTTTTTATCTACAAAATTTTTACAGCGGGTTATTTTGACGCAACTGTAAAAATTGCTGTACTTTAATTAGCGATTTTGGAAAAACGGTAGGAAATTCCGAAAAAGCGAAGCCGAAAATGATTTCTGAATATTGAAATCTACAAGAAAATGTCTTCAAATAATTTTTGGATATATGGTTGAAAAATGATCGAAAATCTTAAAAGTGCCAAAATCAGTCTTATCTTATCCAGTACTATCTACTATCTTACCTTACCAAGTACTAACCCCGCCCAGCCGCCCTCTATTTTCTTGGTAGGTATGTTATTTGCCAAAATCATTCGTATCTTAGCAAATACTAGCCCCGCCCACCCGCCCCCTATTTTCTTGGAACGAATGTCATTTGCTAAAATCAGTCTTACCTTAGCAAGTACTAGCCCCGCCCACCCGCCCTTTATTTTCTTAGAAGGAATGTCATCTACAAAATCAGTCTTATCTTAACAAGTACTAGCCCCGCCCACCCGCCCTCTATTTTCTTGGAAGGTATGTCATTTGCCAAAATCAGTTTTATCTTAGCAAGTACGAGCGCCGCCCACCCGCCATCTAATTTCTTGGAAGGAATGTCATTTGCTAAAATCAGTCTTATCTTAGCAAGTACTAAACCCGCCCACCCGCCCTTTATTTTCTTGGAAGGAATGTCATCTACAAAATCAGTCTTATCTTAGCAAGTACTAGCCCCGCCCACCCGCCCTTTATTTTCTTGGAAGGAATGTCATCTACAAAATCAGTCTTATCTTAACAAGTACTAGCCCCGCCCACCCGCCCTCTATTTTCTTGGAAGGTATGTCATTTGCCAAAATCAGTCTTATCATAGCAAGTACTAACCCCGCCCACCCGCCCTTTATTTTCTTGGAAGGAATGTCATCTACAAAATCAGTCTTATCTTAGCAAGTACTAGCCCCGCCCACCCGCCCTTTATTTTCTTGGAAGGAATGTCATCTACAAAATCAGTCTTATCTTAGCAAGTACTAGCCCCGCCCACCCGCCCTTTATTTTCTTGGAAGGAATGTCATCTACAAAATCAGTCTTATCTTAACAAGTACTAGCCCCGCCCACCCGCCCTCTATTTTCTTGGAAGGTATGTCATTTGCCAAAATCAGTTTTATCTTAGCAAGTACGAGCGCCGCCCACCCGCCATCTAATTTCTTGGAAGGAATGTCATTTGCTAAAATCAGTCTTATCTTAGCAAGTACTAAACCCGCCCACCCGCCCTTTATTTTCTTGGAAGGAATGTCATCTACAAAATCAGTCTTATCTTAGCAAGTACTAGCCCCGCCCACCCGCCCTTTATTTTCTTGGAAGGAATGTCATCTACAAAATCAGTCTTATCTTAACAAGTACTAGCCCCGCCCACCCGCCCTCTATTTTCTTGGAAGGTATGTCATTTGCCAAAATCAGTCTTATCATAGCAAGTACTAACCCCGCCCACCCGCCCTTTATTTTCTTGGAAGGAATGTCATCTACAAAATCAGTCTTATCTTAGCAAGTACTAGCCCCGCCCACCCGCCCTTTATTTTCTTGGAAGGAATGTCATCTACAAAATCAGTCTTAACTTAGCAAGTACTAGCCCCGCCCACCCGCCCTCTATTTTCTTGGAAGGTATGTCATTTGCCAAAATCAGTCTTATCTTAGCAAGTACTAGCCCCGCCCACCCGCCCTTTATTTTCTTGGAAGGAATGTCATCTACAAAATCAGTCTTATCTTAACAAGTACTAGCCCCGCCCACCCGCCCTCTATTTTCTTGGAAGGTATGTCATTTGCCAAAATCAGTCTTATCATAGCAAGTACTAACCCCGCCCACCCGCCCTTTATTTTCTTGGAAGGAATGTCATCTACAAAATCAGTCTTATCTTAGCAAGTACTAGCCCCGCCCACCCGCCCTTTATTTTCTTGGAAGGAATGTCATCTACAAAATCAGTCTTAACTTAGCAAGTACTAGCCCCGCCCACCCGCCCTCTATTTTCTTGGAAGGTATGTCATTTGCCAAAATCAGTCTTATCTTAGCAAGTACTAGCCCCGCCCACCCGCCCTTTATTTTCTTGGAAGGAATGTCATCTACAAAATCAGTCTTATCTTAACAAGTACTAGCCCCGCCCACCCGCCCTCTATTTTCTTGGAAGGTATGTCATTTGCCAAAATCAGTCTTATCATAGCAAGTACTAACCCCGCCCACCCGCCCTTTATTTTCTTGGAAGGAATGTCATCTACAAAATCAGTCTTATCTTAGCAAGTACTAGCCCCGCCCACCCGCCCTTTATTTTCTTGGAAGGAATGTCATCTACAAAATCAGTCTTAACTTAGCAAGTACTAGCCCCGCCCACCCGCCCTCTATTTTCTTGGAAGGTATGTCATTTGCCAAAATCAGTTTTATGTTAGCAAGTACTAGCCCCGCCCACCCCCCTCTATTTATTCTAAAGACTAATTATATTTCTCTTCATTTATTTTATTCAGATCTGATAAAAGCATTCACTGAAAATGAGACAGGGTGGGTGGGCGGGAAAAAATGCCTATCTCGTAGGCAGTTTGCTCATGGACACAAATCTGTGCATATTTTTGCGATATTTGTTGACATATGAGAGAAAAACGCGAATTTACCTTGGCACCTCCACCATTTTTTACGAAAAATTAATGTTTCTCATATCGATCGGAAAAGAAGTTTAAATGTGCGGAATTTATTTTCGGACCACGAATTTGTGGTTATTTTTGCAATATTTGTCAACATAACAAAGAAAGCTCTAATTTATCTAGGCGCTTCATCACTTTTTTACGAAAAATGCCAAAATCAATCTTATCTTAGCAAGTACTAGCCCCGCCCACCCACCCTCTATCTTCTTCGAAGGTATCTCATTTGCCAAAATCAGTTTTTTCTTAGAAAGTACTAGCCCCGCCCACCCTCCCTCTCCACATTCTATTTCTGTTCAGTATAAGATCACTCATTTTATTCAGATCGGATAAAAACAAAATTTCTTATTTCATGACCTGACCTGTCCTGACTTCTCTATTTTTCCAAATAAACAAATTTTAAACATTATGTTATGAAACAAAAATCACTTTTTTATCTACAAAATTTTTACAGCGAAACTGTAAAAATTGTTGTATTTTAATTAGCTCTTTTGGAAAACGGGTAGGAATTTCCGAAGAAACAAAGCCAAAAATCACTTCTGGATATCGAAATCTACAAGAAAATGTCTTCATCTAATTTTCGAATATAGTTGAAAAATATCAAAAATGCC